TATATATATATATATATATAGTATTGCATTGTATTTTTCTTGGAGATTATATCGACCCGCTCGGTGACTAGCAGATGTCTTTTTCAGTTTTCGAGAACTATTTTCTGGAAAGAGAATCGCACAAAATTTTCCTGTGCTTAGTTTTCTTCCTCTGGAACTGTTTTTCGTGGTAATCTATAGTACTTAATCAGCAGCTACATGGCCGATGGCGACATCCAATCAATCATCATAGCATCGTTGTGCTGGAGGGAAGCTAACTTAGTCTAACTTGCCGCATTCCACGCAAATTCCGGTTGAAATTCAAACTGACCGAACTCCCAGTGGGGATGTTCGCAAAAACCAGCGAATTCACCTTTGCCCACCGGACCGTCTTGCTGTGCAAGAGACGATCTTTGACATAGATAATCGACATTTGCCGTCATTTGTAGCCCTAGGTTTTCTTGTCCTTGCACTTTTCTTTTATCCTTCATTTTTTTTCTGAATGAGAATCCTAAAGTCAGCCGGTTTCTTGGCCGCAAGTAATTTTCCCCAATTTTTTCGTCTGAACCCTTTTGGCCTCTCTTCCAAGCGGGCAATTTTTGTTACTGATGAATTCAAATTTGAGTATTGAGAATCAACTTGAGGAGTTTCACGTATCTGGAAAGGACCAGATACTCGTTGAGTATTATTCCTCAGCCATGCCGACAGTGATCCGTTATCCACCGAAATTGGCAGTATATGTTCATCAAGTCCCACTTAGCCTGTCGTGAATATACTGCTCAAAAATGTTTCAAGAACCGAATCACACTCCTATCCTCAAGAGGAAACCCCTATTGAGGAGATGATTTGCGCTGCGCAGTAGTGTTTTCGAAATGCAATCGGCTTCGCGGAAATAAACCTTCCATTACCCAAGTGGAAAAAACTTATTTACGAAGGGACTGATTCACTTTTTAGAATAAAACATAACCTAAGTTTGGAAATTCCTGTAGTTTCTTGAGATGCCCACTGCTGATGGTCCCCAATAAGTATGAAACAGCTATACCACTCTTCTCGACTCTTCAGTATAGATTTGCTTGACTGCATGATATCTTTACTAAAAATTCTCTATACCAATAACCCCGCCCCTTAGATGACCGCCATATTAAGTGGTTGGCGTCATAAGGGGTTGTTATATCGCTACTGTCCCTCTACACCACAGGCTTTTCTTGACTGTATCTAATTCGTCTGGCATGTTAATCGAACCAGAACACTTGCACAGCATTATTGTCTGGAACACGTCACGGTTAAACTATAGGTTAATGAGATTAGAAGCGAGGCACCATATATTCATAGAATTCCTCAATTATATTTCTCAGTCTTATTAGACTGCATTTACGTGGTTATTCTCGGAGTTTAGTGAGCTGGTACATCTACTCATCGTTCGGGAAAGTACATATGTGGGAGATGCTAAGCACCATGCAAATTCATCACAGTATGTCTTAGCTGCATCTTCCAACCACGGATAAATGCTATTGCGCACTAAATCCAGACCGTGCGTACTCGAAAAATCATATCTAAGTATTCGAATACAACTGCAGTTACATTCCGCTGGTGCAGGACGTGTGTGATACAACTCTGAGAAACTCATGTTCCTCAACAGCTAATACCTTATTGCAGGATACGCTCTGGCAGTGAGTATGATTCATTGTAAGGAGACTATAGCACCAATTTATAGCTTAATTGATTCAGTTTGAACTCAAATCAGTTAGCGATGCCTCAGGAGTCCCGTTAAAGTAAACCGGTCCTATCGGAGTGGAACCTTCGATTCCCTGCATAAATTCTCACTGTGAGCTTAAGCATCCGAGGAAATTTGTTGCTGAGTCGAGCCCATTTTTGTTTCCAGTTTCTCTCTTCTCTTCAACGTAATGTTTTTCACTTTGTTTTTTATGCGTAGGTAATCATCACTAACACTAGCTTTTCTTCACCAAAATGCTCTGACAGTAGGCTGGGCAAATTTTGTCACTCGCATTCCACCCGCTTTGCGTGTTCTTCATCGGCCAGATTCGCTGGACCAAGAGTTCTTCATTACTGTTCCTTGCATTTGGTGGAGCTTTTTCGGTAGCTGGTTATCTGATACGAGAATTTCGACATTTCCAAAAATGCATGTGTGTCACGCAAAATAACCTACATAAGGTTGACCAAGACTCGGGGACTTTGTCTACCTGATGAGCCCCAAGAAGGGCAAAAGGTTATGGGCCGGTCGGGGAGTTTTCAGCAACCTTGTGAATAGTTTCCCTTATTAAAACTTACGGAGACATTAATAATACAACGGACGGTCATAAGGTTTAGAGTAGAACTCTATCGTTCTAACGTGCACCACGAGGACGTCCTTCACGAAGTGGTGTTTCTTACTGTCATCTAGCAAGCTCACACACACGGAGCGAAGGTCGATGTAGACAGGAACGTAGTGCGTCTACAAAGCCACGTCAGCATTGTGTCACCCGTACATCACGTGCAAGTTCGTCTACAATTCTGTGCTAGATCAGTTGTATAACGGAGTTATCTCGCCCAAACGATTAGTTAGGCTTGTATTGAACAAAAATACCAAATGAGTCTCACAAATCCAATATATAGGTGTGGTGTTTCCTGCACAATAATAATAGTAGATAAGTAATCATTCGATCTTTCCATGCCTGGCTGCCATGCCAAGGAAAGGAGGCACGAGGGCTGGAATACTGCGAGTTTTCCCATGCCTAGGCATCTAATTTTCCCTGAAATAGTACCAGCACGACCTGGCTGCCAGCCAAGGAAAGGAGGCACGAGGGCTGGAATACTGCGAGTTTTCCCATGCCTAGGCATCTAATTTTCCCTGAAATAGTACCAGCACGACAACCAAAATCTGGTGAAGCTGCGCTAACCATTCCACTGGTGGTTCAGTTCAGTTTATTTACAATTACAGGGTTTAATCGGAAGCTATTCAGTGCCTAAACAGGAATAACCACTGTTGGTAGTTCATTAATTTTTCCGTCGCCCAGTTCTATATAACCTTTTTGTGATTTTTTCCACCTACCCCGCGCACTAGTGGGGCGCGATGGTGCTATATCGCTTCAATATTATTTTGCTCCCAAAGTACTAAAGGTACGTTCTTTGTAAGGACTGATAGATGAGTTGAGAATATACATAGTATAGGTACTGTATCTTTTTTGTGATTCCACCTACCCCACGCACTAGTGGGGCGCGATGGTGCTATATCGCTTCAATATTATTTTGCTCCCAAAGTACTAAAGGTACGTTCTTTGTAAGGACTGATAGATGAGTTGAGAATATACATAGTATAGGTACTGTATCTTCTTTGCCTATAAATTTCCGGGCAGCGGACTCCTTACAGGTAGTTCTTACCTTTGGCTTACTGAATGTAAGGTTTATATAGCGAAAATCCGAGTAAGGATTTATCAACCTTCAGGTCTAAAATAATCCCTACCCTCAGAGATGTCTCAAATCCGCATCTGGCGACAGCAGCAATACAAAATGCTGCTACTTATGAAGTCTCCTAGAAGTTGTGAGCTCCGTAGTTTGCTGACCTCATAAAAAGACGGCCATTTTTTCAGCGTACCCACGCACACACGCAATTTCTTTCAACTTGGAATCTGGCCTGTCACAAGTCATGTAATACCGTTTCATTTATTCGACCACGTGCATGGCGCATATTGGTTGATCACCAACCAAGTCGACTCACAGGGGAATCTACACAACACACCTCCAGAAAGTTTTTGTAAGCAGTCAATGCAGCTATTGCCAGAAAGCATTTCGCTTTTGACTCAAATACGTTGTCAAGCCAACTGTGTAGGCCACCATTTTGGCTGGGATTTTAAGCGACGGGGGGGGGGCAGTCAGTATAGTCTCATTCGGCTAGCAAGTGTTGGTTAAAAGTTTTCGTTACTTCGTGTGGATGATTAAATCTGACAACCAATGCACTCGAAAATTTAAAATCATTTTGTTTGGGCTTTTGACCTTGATGTTTCGACTCAAAGCCTTTTGACTGATGGTTCCTCTTGGGTATCGTTTGTGTTCCTTCTGGCCTGTGTCGATTGGTAAGTGACACGGTAGTTTAGTTGTGGGAATGAGGCTACGTGGGTTATCGTTTGCTGTTCTGTCAACTGTACACAGGGCTCTTACTGAGCCAAAATGTTTTAGGCATTGATGACGAATATCGCTTTAGAATAGGCCACGAATAGTTCGAAAGTACACGAGTGACGTTTGGTTGCTGGTACATTGTGGTTCTGAGATTTCAGTTGGTCTTAAATATAGTACAGTCTGAGTAAGGTAATGCGCTCGAACATGACGCTATGTATGCACCCTATTTGGTGTGGGAATTTAAGTTGTCAAGGAGTTTGAAAAGTTCATTCACTTTATCCCCTTTAGTGACGACAAAGATACCACATACAAATCACGAATAAAGTGGATGAGGTTCGGAATTGTCTATACATCTTCTAATATTTCCTCTGCGTTAAGCTGTCCGTCCCGACACCTTAATGTCTTCAACTAATTGGCCATTTCTAAACAGCGTATTTTTAGACGCCATAACTCGCAAAAGTGTCGTATGGTTCCAGGAAGAAACCCGCTTGTTTGCTGACAAAGTAAACAAAAATGAGAAATACACTCATTTGCAAGTCAATTTGGTTTTCACGGGAGACTCAATCGAATCTCTCGTTTATGATGTCCTCCAGTTGAATGTGTTGCACACAGTCCGCCTCATGATTCAGTTGGCACGATATTCGGGATATCGCAGTATATTTTTATAAAGGAAACTACTCACAAGGTTGCTGAAAACTCTTCGACAGCCCACGACCGGTTTCGCCCTTCTTGTGCTCATCAGGTAGGCGCAGTCCCCGAGTTTCCGTCAACCTTATGATCTACTTGAACCCAAATTGCACTGTTTTCGAGAAATACGCTCCCGTGAAAACCAAATTGATTTGCAAATGAGTGTATTTCTCGAAAACAGTCCAATTCGGGTTCCAGGAAGAGACCCGCTTGTTTGCTGACAAAGTAAGCAAAAATGATTTTATGATAGACGTATCAGGTTTTAGAATACCTGCCAAAGATCTGTCAACCTACAGGGATGTAGAAACTTATCGGTTCACCATCGTTCTCATTAGACAGAGCCTGTTACGATGTGGTTGAACGCTTGTCTTACCTTAAAAGAACATATAACAGGTCGAATTTGCCTGTCAAGTTTTTTTGGACTTTATAGTTTCATTGTTAACCTCTCGGCAAGGACCAGCTTGTAAGTAGATAATAACTATTATTTGTGATAGATACGGTCTTGATCTCATCTATCTTTGTAGTGGTAAGACGGTTCATCGTTTTGGGTTATTTGGTACTCTGTGCTTAGTTGGTGTTGGATTCGATGTTTCTAGTTTTTGTAACCTAGCCTCTACTTCCACTGAAGAAAGCTTCCCGACCACAGGTTGATCACACTGCGACAAGTGGTGAATGGTTCACCTTTATATTTTGCGCTCACTACTACCAAAATGAGTAGTGGAGAGTAACATTTCGTTGTCTCCCATTGTAATATTGACCTTGGGTAGCTTAGGCTTCAGTTGAATAACTGGAAATCTGCGGGAAAAACCGTAGTCCGAACATTGGGGTTGTGCCTACGTGCATAGAGGCTTTAAGAAAGAAAGCTTTGATCGGATGACATCCATAATATTCCGGCATCATGTAGGTAACACCTCTTTCGTGATTAAATTTTACAATCACCTTAAAAATTTCCACATCAAAAATAGTGTGGCAGTGGAGTCGAACGGGAGCACGCCATCCTTTTGTGCCAGACTGTGACATAGAGGCCTGGTGGTGAACTGATCTCTTCAACCTGCCGCTAAGTCTTTTTACTCCTATCCATTGGTTGCCTCGTGGGTCGATTTCGTCAACTAGTTTTATCGTTTCAGGTCGCTGAGAAGACGACTGAACTACAGTCTTTTCGCGACTTTTAATGATATCTCATCAGTTGCGTGCACATTTTTCAGGCGATAGCTAACTCGACGGCTTTTTGAATTGATTTTCATCGAGTAGGACTTATTAACTTGATTGAAAGTATGTTTTGTGTAGAAAGGCTTAAAACGTGGCACAGGTGTGTACATTCACATGCTCTGAATTGTCAGACTAGCATTCGAAGTAGTTGAGGCTGTGACTTTTTCAACAACGCAACATCAAGGCGTACTTTGGCGCAACTGAGGAATACCACTTCAGAAGATTTTGAAATGAAATTGTTGGGATTTATCTTCACTCCTACACCTGTTTTCTTTTGCCCCATTTCTCAAAATGATCGCAAACACATATCGGCGATACACCTAATTGTCCGTGGTCAAGGTGATTTCTCGCGTTTTCCAATATTTTCCCATATTCGGATATTTATTTCGCCTCGCATACTGCTTCACTATTTACTTTCCGATTCCTGGTGAAAAATCACCTTTCCGCAAAATAAAGCCATTTTTCACACTTTCATGTTCCAAACCGTAAATCTTGAAGTGTTTTTAGGATTTCATCACCATGGGGCGCTGTTTTTGTTGTGCACGGAAAAATCCACTTCATATAAATTAATGGCTTGTGAAAGATGGAGTTTTTTATTCGAACTTCCGTGTTACGTAGACTTAATGCTGTTTAGAATCCGAAATTTGGTGCACGGTATCGGGTCAGAGCAGAATCTCATGTGATTTCGAATGTCCGACGTTCTACAGGAAATTCAAACCCTGAAAATTTGGAGAGCAGGTCGGTCTTAATCACATTGGCTGAGCTGCACATATTCCAAGGCACCATCCGCTCTCATATGGCACGGTATCATATGGCGCCCTCACCCATTATTCGGTATCATAGGCTGTTTATATTTTCGAGGATGCTACAGTCTGTGAAAAGCTTACGAGTTCCTTTCATGTTATCTCGTCGGACATGACACCATATAGTACTGAGCACAGAATTCGGTATACGGCTCATATTTACTGTTGAGACGCCTTAATATTCCTGTCATTTGCAGTGTGAATAAAATCGGGGCATCTAGTTATGAGAAATGGTCGTAAGAGTTTTCAGTAATTCTGTCAGTTATTTGACCGAGCGTTTACCATTCTTTCGTTTGGGAAATGTAGTTTATTGCTGATTATATGTGTTCTCGGATCTCCCTCGGGATTCGCAGGATGCAGGCCCCAGTATGCACCATTCAGTTCCCTCATTTTCAGTCAGTAGTCTGTTACCAAGATACTCTGTCATTCCATCTGACGATTGTTGTAATTCCGTCTTTCTGTTACCACAATAAATGCGTCTATTTTCGAATAATGTTATGTCTATTGAACAACCTACTATTACGGGGGGAATTTACGGGAACTCCCACCATTTCCTCCAATCCACCCCGCACTATCCACACACTGTCTCAGGTTCTTTGTTTCCATCCAAGCCGGAATGATATTATATGTGATCGTCCCCCCACCTTCGCTCTGTTCGACTGAACAGCATGAATTTGTCGGGTTTCTACCGTCGCACGACGATAACCTTACGATACCGCATTTTGTGTATGGGTTTTCCCTGACTACCTTGGAGCCAAGACGTATTGTGAGCACCTTTCTTCTAAAACTTGGGATTCATACATTTTAACAAGAATATGTTACGGCTCCTGGGCATTGGATTCTTGATAAATACACAGTAAAATGGAAACAATGGATTTATAGGGATGCCAGAAAAATATTCATACACATACCGAAGAATGTATAAGTGATCTGATCGTCCGCAATGGGACATGAGCTGGTGGCGATGTTTGTTTGTTTCCCTGAGTTGGTAATGCGTAACCATTCATCCTAGCCACTTCTTCAGGTGGACTTAGGTTCACTCGCTTGTCTTGTATTCACCTTCCTCCTACGTATAGAATGGGAACAGTGAAGTATTGAGCAAAATGCCTGTCGGAACTGGCTGTTAAACACAGCATACAAGATAGGATTAAGTGCACTGTTGGCATATCCCAACCATGTGACGAACATTCGTAGATGTGGAATATCAGAGCAATATTGCTCTCCACACAACCCGCGTACCATGTAAAATATAGTGAATGGGATCCAGCAGAGAATGAAAATGCATATGATAAGACCCATACGCTTTGTAGCTCGTCGTTCGCGATGGTCTGCTCTAGCTTGTTCGCGATCCGGCCCATTGGAATCCGCCATAGTGTATCCCTCTCGTGATGCTTTTTTGCACCGAGTCTGAGTTGACCGATGACTTGTGTTGAGAACGGAAGTTGTGTGATGTGAATTGTTTTCAACAAGGGTTTCGTGCATTGTCACGTTTGACTGTGTCTTTTCAGTGTTGGATGGGTGAAGATAAGCACAAACCGTGTCATCTTCATTCCGGTCGGTTGTTGTGTTCAGTAATCTTGCTCGACTGTTATTGTTTGTCACAGATTTTTGCTCTTGTCTACAAATTTCGATGAAACTTTCAGAATCGTGGTGTTTTACATCTCTGTTCTCCAGTTTTCTCTCTGAGTCTTGTGCCTTAATGACCCATGGATCTTGATTAGGCACTGGTTCTTCTTCTTTGGCCCCTTTGTTTGACCCCGATGTTTCGCAAATGAAAACCTGAATTTCATGTTTAACGCATACATCACTTTTCCTTTTCGTAGTATTCGTTTGGCCAGATACCGATTCGATACTTTGACAATTTTTTGGACGTGCAGGAAATTCATACGTCAAATCGGTCGCATCCACATTGGATAGAGCTTTTTTCCGAGCTTTCTGGTTTTTACGGAGCAGCCGACCACGTTTACGCAGTACCAAAAATATTTTCATATATAGTCCGAGCATGATGATCAGAGGGATGATAAACGATCCCATTGCAGAATAGGCCACGTAGGAAGGTTCCGTAAACAGTACACAGTTATACGACCCAGTCTCTGGGTCATAAACATGTGTGCTTGTTGAGAAAGGATGGATGACAAGGTGCTGTTTGGTACCGTTGTGTTCATACCTCGTCAAGTTCCCCACTGGGTCATGTGGCTGGAACGGCTCTGGGGTTCTGCTTCCCCAACCCAATAGTCCCGGTAGACATATTAGCCCAGATAAAACCCATACCAAAATCACTTGTACAAGGACATACCAGATAGATTGTCTTGTTCTGTACCACACAGGAAAGCTCATTGCTATGAAGCGGTCGAACGCAATGGCTACGAGATTCCATATCGAAGCTGTACAATAGAAAACGTCAATAGTCAACCATGCATCACATAGGTGCCTGCCAAACAACCAGCGACCAGTAGCATCGGTGGTCGCTGAAAACGGTAAGACTGTGATCGCCAGAAGAAAGTCACTCACTGCCAAATTTCCAATGAGCAAGTTTGATGTGGAACGTAGTCGTCTGAAGCGAACCAATGCGTTGAACACCAGAGTGTTCCCAACAATAGTGATAACGATTATGACAGCGAACAGTGTTGACACAGAACAGAACATCCATATATCATAGGTCAAGCTTACGTCCATGGTTTTAAGTCTTGTTTGAAAATTGTCCATAGCTCTTTACCACAGTTATTCTCATAATTTTCAGTCACAGCTTCGCTGTTATCCCTTAGGACTACTGCCGCGCTGCGTTACTGTCCTGCTAACCAACGGAATTAAAGTACACTTTATTTGTCTTCTGATTGGCCGGTTTACCTGCGTGGCACATCCTTTTGATTGATTGGCTGAACTGGTCATAGCCGTTTTCCACCCCATCTCGTCCATCTTTTCTCCCACCAAACTGGCGCCTTCTACTGAGATTACGCCTACTCGATTTGAGCTGAATAAAACAATTCAATCCCCATCATGATGCAGTTTCAAACTGAGATCACATACGTCATGAGATGTGGTCACGATAAAATGGCCACTTCCAGATGGACTTTCAATAAGCTTCTGAAAGAGAGACCGCAGATTTTCATTAAATATCATTTAAAGGGATCGATTCGTGTTCACATTTTAGATATTGATTTTTGTTTTGTTGGACCGTATAGGCCCAACCCTTAGTGCTAATCCTACTATTGTCGTTCTCAGGGAACAAATGTTCCCAGACCAGAGATAATCAGTAAGCTTTTACTTGCCTAATGACAATACGCAGTTACGTTTCTTTTTGGATCTATCTGCATCCATTGGTGTGTCGTAACAGTGAGTGATTTCAATAAATTCTAATGGATTGTAAAACGGATTACCCGTTGAGAAATCAGTTTGAATGACCGACTAAAGCCCCAGCCTGTCGTGCGTTCAACCGCGCGAAAGTGGATCTGCCATGAGCTTTTGTCTTTTCGGTCTCTTTTGAACATGAGGGAATTTGAATGTTCCTTTTGATGAAAAGAAATGCACGCAACCTTTGATACTTGCTAACTATTAGCAACTGATAGACAGTGCACCAGTGATTTCTTTTACAAGTAATTTACGTAAGACTTTAAGAAGACTAATTGAAGCGGAAAACCCGCTATACCGGAAGTACTCCAAGCCCTCCTCGTGCTCCCTTGGAATTTTGATTCCTATGTACCGTATCGGTAGGAAACGAATGCCACTCAAAGACTGAGGAACTCACCTACGTATGATGGGGAGGGAGCTGTGTGGATGGACAGGAATTCGCTGTGTGGTGTTGGTCTAAATATTGACTGATACGAGTCAGTGAGTTTTTGTTGGGACTCCATTGGCTGGTCACAAAACTGTATTGATGATATGAGCCGGGACAATACACAATAGTATTTCCTAGTCGCGTTCCATGTACCGCAGTTATGGAACCGTTAACGCCATACTTTTAGTCCGTGAAGTTAAATGGTTTTTGGTGTGATTCTGAGCTCTTCCATCTGTTCAGCAGTGCGAACGAGTGCTTGGGGTCTCGGTAGGCTAAAGTAAACCTTCGGTTTCGTGACAGCCGTTTTTTAGCCTTCTCTGTACCACTGAGCATGGGAAGGCAAATTTTCCGCAGCAAATTTTTACTTCACACGTGAAAGCCACGAGAAAACATCCTTGACCAACCCTGGTATGATTTCTTTGGGGTATGTATCTCTGTAATTCCTGCTTATGCTCCCCTTCGCAGTTACATTGTGGACAAACTATGATTTGCTGTGTGCGCGTTTCGCAACCCAAGTTTGTTGAAGCGGAGTAACTTGCGATAAGGTTCCCATCCTTCTCTTTTTTTGCCATGACTGCGACAGTTTTGCCTAATATTTGGACGTAATTGTTTATAATATTCTTGTCCTAGGGCAGCGTCTCTCAAGGACGGGGCGATTGGAGGCTGTGGAAGGCAATGGAGAGAGCTTTCACACTTCCACTCCCCGTGAGGGATGATAAACGTGTGTTTATTGTCGTGTATATTTGTGCTCAGTAGGCTTGGTTGTCTCATCTGTCGGACTGCCGATTCGGGCTGTCACACGTACACCATCCAGATAAAAGCCACTGTATCATCTTACAAAGCATTATGCATACGACTGACCGCCCCCTACCTTGAATCCAAGGATCGCAGTTCTTTAATATAAAGAGCCCGAAACGGCCAAGCCTGTCCATTCCCGCTATGTGAATACACCGGTTTGACATTGGACCTTTTCGTATATCGGAAATACCTTTGTACTCAATGCTGGCATGTTGCGCAGACTTGCGAAGTTTGTTGTCGAAGAGGTGGACTTCAGGAGGCATTTATGATTGTACTAATGTTACACTAAAGTGAAAACTAGGCAACTGCACTGGGAAAGATTGTTATATGCGCTGTATTATTTTTGAAAAAGTAACTGAACCGAAAACTCTGCACATATCAATAGATGATTGTAGGGGGGAGATAACAACTCTCTTCTGAACATGTCGTATGCTTTTCTCTTCGCATTTCTAGCATTGTATTTAGTGAAGAAACAGATGTACGCTCAGCATGTTCGATTCCAAGTGTCCACAGAGATGTCACATTTTAGTTTTCAGTATATACCTAATTTTAGTCGATTGAGACGAAACTGCGCATGTTTTGGGTACACAATTTTAGCTGTTTAATCGTTCATCGGGTTATCATTGATTAATATGAATCATCATTTTGTGTCGCAGTCTATTCAGCCATAATGTTTTCTAAACATTTCATGTCCTGTTATCTCTAACACTATTCGACAAGTACAACGTATCTTGGAAGTTGTATTAGTTCTGATCGTAGTGTGATAGATGAGGTCAATGCACGAATCTGCAAGGCCCGGGTCGCGTTCGCTAATCTGAGACACGAATGGCGTCAGAGAGGTGTATCCCTCAAGGGACGTCTGTATCAAGCTACAGTTGGGGCTGTTTTGTTCGGCTGAGACCAGTTCGAGCAACGGAACTGAGAAGTCATCAGGTGTTCGACAATCGTTGTCTCATAACCATAGCTCGTATGGCTTGGTGTTGGCAAATTCGTAACCAGACAATTAGAAAGCGAGTTTTCGGTTGCTCAATGCGTACTCCCATTGGAGAATGTTGGTTGTGACATGTGTTGCATATGCTGAACCATCGTCTGCCGAAGAGAGTGTTGTTTACCATGCCCAACTCAGAGTAGCGTAAGCAGAGAGATGGTCAACCCTTGACTTGGCAGAGGAGTATGAAGGAGTTTACGAAACGTTTGGGTGCTGTTGGTGCCACTAGCCTACCAGGACGGGGATCTCCTGATCCCCACTGCGCCTAGTTGGAGACACTACGAGATATGGCTGACAACCGATGTCAGTGGCGTCCGTGGTGTTATTTTCTATCTAGGTTGCCTCAGTGAATGTCTGGAGGAATGATTGTAGCAAGCTAGCACTAATTCCCCCCGTCCACCTTGATTCTTTGCTGTAAAATAAGACTTCCAATTTTGGTGATCGAATGCTTCCTCACCTCAATGCTTTGCATGTGTATCTGTTCACTAGGGTTGTACAAATTTCGCCGTTTAATTTGACTCGGTTCAGTTTATTGGAGTGATTCGATTTCCGCGTGTCTCAACGCTCTCCATATCGTTCTAAGGAATTCCCGACGTTTTACCTAGCAACATCTGTCGTTAGTGATGGTAACTGTAATATTGATGATGTGCACGAAGAAATTTGGTGCTATCAATGATTTCTGCAGACGGAACGTTCGTCGACTGTTGCTGTTTCGCGCATTGATACCGGTCATTTAATACATCTATAAATAATAAATCCAGCTTGTTTATATCCCGAAAACTACAGTGGCCGATAAACTGTGCACAACAATATCGTTTTGTGCCTCTATTAAACGTGTTTATGTAAGGCTATCGGTTTCAAATAGCGGATTTTGTGGTCAGCCAGACTTCTGATGAACACGTACATTGCAGCAGAACCTAACCATACTCCTGAAAGTTGCTGCATCCCGGGTTCTAATACGCTAATGTTGCGCTCGTGTGGGCCGCTTGTGCGGGAGCTGCTAATGCGAAACCGGGTCTGATTAATCTTGTATCCCATTCGTCGATCCCAGACCTCTTGGTAGGAGGCTAGCCGTAAGCGAGGTTAACATAGTTCTTACGGGATAGGTGACAGGTTTACGAAAGTTTTGCGTACTGGTGTTTAAAACTCAGTGGTGCTCATACTAGCTCCTCATTCTGTTCCTTAAGCGAAGGGAAAACTTGCGGTGGTTCTTATCTGCGGTTGCACCAACGCCATCACGATTTTCATATGATTGATATCGTTTTAATTTTCGCAGCCTTTTGGCTGCCGACCCCTCAGTTTGCTCTGTCACCGGACGGACGACTCTCTGTCCCATTTCTTCTTATGTGTGTAGTAGGATTGATCGAAGCTCGCTGGTTTTGCCCGGTTTGTGGCTCCGCCTCCCAAATCCCAGCCCCTCCTTTATCGCACTTGTTTTTACGATCGCCACCTGCTAGAATCTCCTAGTATTCTGGTAGTAAGGATTGGGTTAATGCACACTCAGCGCACTTCACCGTGTTCGTTTTCAGTAAGGGTTATCAGGTGCGATCATCAGGCACCTTGGTGTCGGTTAAATGAAAATCAAACTGATAGTTTGCATGGCTACATTACTTGACACCTACTGTTCACATGTAATAAATTTTCTCAGTGTGGAAACAGTGAAAACTGGTTAGCACGAAAAGCACGACACGGGTGTTAACTAGACCTGTGATCACATATCCCCAAAGTTTTCCCTTGTGGGCTCACTGAGGCATGCAATCGGAAGCCGACAGTCTTTTATATGTATTTTGTTCCCCAATCTGCATGAAAGGCTTTCCAAAGCCTCAAGCACTGGGGCGTGTCCACTCCATTCGGCTAAATGGTCAAATAAAGCATTTTTCTGTGAGTTCACTTGTCGAATTGTGACCGCCTTTTGTTAGCGGTCGAATATCAGGTAAGAAAGTACCTGACTGATTGAGTTAGTATGTACCCAGATGTCACGCATTCATCCAACTGCTGTTTTCGGTCTATTTGTCACAGATCACCCGTCGCAATTTATCATTCAAGATCGACGGACAATAACTTGTTACTTTTGTCGAGTTCTCTCCCTTCCTTGGTCAATGTTTTTTCGGATGAATGCGTGCCTGCTCGGGATTTTCGCTCCACGTGGCATTTTTACTGGTTAAGGACTACATAATTTTGCACGACACTTTTGATGTGGTATGCAAATGGACCAGATCGATATAACCCTCAGCTTCTCATTTAATTTTAAACTTGTAATTTAGATTCCAGTGATGTTTCGGAATGATGTCTGCCTCGAACAATCGACAGGATTAAATAATACGATTCCGTTTGTGATGTGGCGTAAGTTCCAGACTGAGTTTCTCAACTCTAAGTCTCGACTGATCGTGCATGTGGCTCGGTGGAATACCCTGCCTCGGATACTTACAATCCTTAGTGCTCGCTCGATTAGCCAGTTCACTCTTGGAGATTCGTGACTTTCTGTCTCTCTCTCTCCCTCTCAAACCTACGTTCTCTCTTACTTTGATTTCGGTTGCCCCTTCCTGGCCTCAGGACTTCTAGTAAACAAATGGTTCTTGGTCTTACTTCCTAACTGCTCGTTACGTTCGATTTTCAATGGAGTACGTTGCGTGACCTTAAAATTCTGTCCAATAATTGAAAAGTAAGCCTAGTAGGTCTTTACCAGTTTGTTTGTTGAAACGTGACCCCCTATTTACTGTAACCGGTACTTGCAACATGATGCATACGCTTCACTTATGTCACACGATTACTGACTTCGTAACTCAATATGTGAAAAAGGGCTCTCTGGAGGCGCGGCACTGGCTTTACTCGACTATGCCAAAAATAACCGGGAAATTTTTCAGTCGATTCCAAACTTCCAATTTCAAGTTTTGTGAAATGCGGGAAACAATATTGAATTAGTGGAAAAGCAATTAGATAAATGTCCGAAGGAACTATCCAATGATGGCAGCAGTAGGAACAATGCAACCCCACGCCCATTCTTCGTTTTACAAAGTACATAAAACACGTTCCCCGTTGCATCTCATTTTAGACTTCATGCCTCCCATTAAACTTTAGCCAACTGGTTGTGCGTTGCGCGTTTTTGAACCCATCCGAGCACATATTGCACATCGCATTTGACTTATGTACCGGAGGATATGCATACTTTAAATAACCGTATATTATCTCCTGACGTTATGTCACTTTCCGTTTTAGAAACTGCATATATATATATATATGTCATGTAGCTAAATGCTTTAACATAACTACGGTATTACCCACAACAAAACTGATTACACACTGTACAATGAACGTCTAGTTACTGTTCACCAGGCGATTTTACGGACACTCGGATGGGGGTAATCATGGACTTCACTTGTTTCACAGATTTACGCAAGTAGAAAATTGGAAATAACATCTCTAGACCTCTGCGACAAACATTGATGAAACTTTCGTAGCATGCTTCTATCTATTCTAAATGTTTCAAGCCGTTTTTAATGATTCTGATATTTCACGGGACCTTCCGGCTATAACCTTTAAGTGTGAACTAAACAAGATGATTAGTTGCTTCTTTTTGATGACCTACTACCACTCCACAAGACGGGTTGCAAACCTCGTCAACGTGAAACGGAATCTTGCTAATTGTCTGTATGACAGATCAGCGAAAATGTGTTCAGCGAGCACTGCGACTTGTTAACAAGTGTGTTTTGAAAAAAGGCCACCTAGGTGATTTTTGGCGAAAAGCCTCGGACCGAGATCCTAAAGACACACTGGAAGAGATTAAACTCAAGCTTATTCGCCCCAGCTTTCTTTTCAAAGACGGGGGATGCTGATTCCAGGGCGCCACTCGTCCTTCGGTAATCGAGATCACATCGCATGATAGTGTACTGACTGGCTGCTCGAGTGACGAGCTCGACTTGACACTGGTTGGAGTTTTAACCGCTTTCAGAACAAGTCAAGATGCTAATGTTCGTAAGAACTAAGCTTAAAACAAGAAATTCAGCTGCGTTCCAGGTGAGTCTCCCGAGGACCAAATTGGTTTGCAAATGAGTGTGTTCCGCTAAATAAGCTTCTTTTTGTCCATAAGCAGAATGAGTTGGCATCTATACTGTTAAGTTAAAACTTTGCTACAGAAGCATTGTGCATAGACGTTGGTTCCCCTGTGGCCGGACAGTCACTAATCCGCCTTACATGACTTGTGGAACTTAGGACAACTTTACTAGTCTTAACCTTTAATTAATCAGATGAACGTCTAATCTATGTTTTGAATGGTTATTTTCTATTTATGTGTCTGATTCAGTTGGGGAGATTGCAAAGGCCACCTTCTCCTGAATGTTCTCGTTCTTTTTCTGCCATTGGAATTCTCCAGACATAAAATTTATTCTTCATCTATCCAACCTCGCGATGACTTGGGATTCTTGTTGGAAATCTGCTTACTGTTCTTCTATATGATAAATACTGTTGCTGTATGGGCAACGAACATAACATATTTGTTGGGTCTCAAACACCGAGTGTTATTTACGCACGATTCCTCGCAAACTTGAACCTATTTCACCGTACTCCTGGGTCACTCTCGACTCTGTTGTTTTTAAAAGAGAGCGCGGTATTCCCCTGTTATATTTTTCAGATATCTCAGAAAATCAGGCTGCGTTCTCCAAACACTGGGACCAACTGCTTGCTAGGTTCGAACATGTGGTCATCGTCAATCTTTTGGATTGTGGACCCAGGCGGTCGGAAAATCGATTACTTGAGGCCTATCTCCGACACTTATTGCTTCTGAACAATGAAAAATTGACCTTCATTCTTTTCGACTTCCATGACTATTGGTGAGTGTGTTTTTGTCATACGTGCGTATTTTGTCTTTCCAGTGAGAATAGATTCCAGCTAGGCTGTAATCCAACTTGTTTAATCCACCATTTTTAGTGACAGCTTAATTTTGCTCTAATAAGGCTTCAATTGTAGTCTTCATCTCAGGTACTGCAAAACGGCCCGTAATTGTCTTTCAGCCGAAGTCTTTCGATTATCAGAATGTGACAGCAGCTCTCTTTTTAGGGTCTGCAGGTTTACTACGAGTGTCGTTGGGACGTGTCCTTTGGGGGCTGACTTGTCTCTGCCAAATGCAATTCATGCTATTCTGTCTGGTTTTTTTCTCTTGTCAGATCTAGAACAAATGATCATTTTTACTGGTGTTTCCCCCCTCACCAGCCCACCTTTTCTTTTGTTCTTTTTAATCTACTCTCTCTATTTTGCATGATAAGTAAGCTTTTGTCGATTTTTTGGAATAACTAATTTTGTCTGTCTGCTAAGCGATAGGTTTTCTTTGTTCGCTTTGATTTATTCCGTATGACGCTGTGCATATATTGTCACATGCTATAAAATCATCCACTATGTACCATTAGGAGAAATTGCATCCATCAGCAGGTTCAATCTCCTGTTGATGGTACCAAATTAATTCAAAGAATCCTTTCCGCTTCAGTGTCTGTGACTTTCAGATGACGTCCGGCTATGAACTCCGGAACGAACTAAATGCATCAGCGGTCAGGGATGATGCGCTGAGGTGTTCCTCGAAAGTGACCGACTAAAATACGACAACGTTTCTTCCTGCAGCTCATTGATTGTATCACCAGATGGTTAAGATAATCTGAGTTTCCGCTGGTTAGGTTCGCGAGCCCCTTGTAACAGTCCGAAGCAGCTGAGCGGTGGAGACGTAAGCACTGTCCTTATCATTTGTCATTAACTCGGTTGTGCAGTTAGCAGCCTATCATTTCCGAGACGTCATTTTCGCACAAATCCCGGAATTCTTGACGTTCCTCTGGAAAACATTAGTAGATGGACTTGTACTCAAGATCTCGGAGTTCCCTTTTGTCGACACTGCACGCAAGCTGTTTCACCAACTCCCCAGTTGGCGAATTAGGTTTGAAAATTTTCACGAACAGGAATATATATATATATATATATATATATATATATATATATANTTATTCTTTTCTTTACAATAAGGCTTTCAAATAAGTCATGGCTGTACGGCAGTGAAGCATTGGTGTTGAGCACTGATGTCATGCTGTCGTGTTAGCAGCCATCATTTCCGAGACGTCATTTTCGCACAAATCCCGGAATTCTTGACGTTCCTCTGGAAAACATTAGTAGATGGACTTGTACTCAAGATCTCGGAGTTCCCTTTTGTCGACACTGCACGCAAGCTGTTTCACCAACTCCCCAGTTGGCGAATTAGGTTTGAAAATTTTCACGAACAGGAATATATATATATATATGAATTTACTGACCGGAAGGTCCGTAGTTCGAACCCGACCTCTGCTTCTCGACTTCCCCTGCTTATGCTTGGGTAACTTGACAGTATCCCAGCCCTTGTGCTTCCTTAGCGTGGCAATGCAGATAGGCACCGAAAGGGTGTTGCAGCTTAACGATTATCTTCTTTTACTGACTGGAACTCAGTTTCTTATAGTTCAACCCTCAAAGACAAAAAAAAACTCTAGCCTCACACGCATCTAATGCGGATTGTAAAAGGAGTAGAGACACGTCTACGACTTTGCACCTGAAATCTGTCGGCCCCGGGGTAAGAATGGAAGATACGGGCCTGAAACGCGAATTGATCTTGTTGTATGTTGGACCGCGCCTCAGTCAGTGGAACCCGACTGACCGACCACACAAAGCTACAGAAGAGTAGCTCTGGTCATACGCTCTACTGGAGTGGAACAGCATAGGAACAATTATGTGAACACAGTATCCAATTCACAGCTGCAGATAGCATGAATCAGAAAGTAGAGTCAACTGATCAACTTGAGAGCGATGGTTATGCGATTCCGGCGGTCGAGGATAAAATGTAACACATCCATCAGCTTCTATACCCCATAATTTCACAATCAGACGAAGAAAAGAACCAATCCTACCAGCAGCTGTTGGACCTGGTCAGATGTACACCTTTAAGCGACTCTCTTTATTTGGTTGACGTATGACTACCCGTTTTTCCAAAGACTGTGAAAACTAGAAGCTACCAGGTTCATTCGAAATCCGACCATTGATCGGTAACGGTGGAAGACTGCTAACGGTGTGTGCAGTATTCGAAATCTACGTTCCGAACACGTGGTTTAATGTGGGGCGTAGACTCATTCAAGGAATGAACATGAACATCTAATCGACCGTCGTTATGTGGCGATGAGGTTTCCATGACCACATAGATGATGCGCGTAATCGAATGGGATTCTAAATCGTTCCTTGGTCCGCGTTTGAGTAATCCTCTCACTTAGAAGACTGTGATTCCATTGACCAGGAAGAAACTCGTCCAGTTTGTTTGTACGAAGACCCAATGACGAGGAAACTGTATGGAAGTTCTGCGAAGTTCTAACCCGTGGACGATCAAGCCACTAACACTCCCGAAAGCGAATGGTGCCGAATACGAACGCGTATCTAAGCGGTTCCTGCGGTTAAAATTGGACCAAAGCGAGGACGCAAAAGAGATTAGTTTGAGGAGAATGACTCACCAATATCCACCCGTAGTCGAGATAAAACTAGCTTTCGCCAAAACACTCCAGGATCCGAAATACACGAGCTTGAAAGCAACTCAGAAGCGTCGGTGCCAAGTTTCTGAAACATCTGCGGAAGGCAAAAAATGAATGGTGGACCAAAGAAACTGAAGAACTACATCCGTTATGGAGAATTCCCACCGCAGTGACAAACGTATACGGACCGAAAGTTCTGTGTCTTCAGTTGATATAATATTAACAAAGTGGAAAACCCAACAGATCTCATAAAATTTCGCGAGCCCAATAACACCACTTCCCAGTCCTACTCAACCGACCGGGAGATGTTGATTTGAGCTACATAGCCCATCTTACTTACAGTGAAGACTTTCTCGGCCAAACTTGACTGCTGAGGGCCGTAAATCAACAGCACAATGGCCTGCTGGTGGAGCTTTCTAACCTGGAGAGACCGTCATTACACGGGTAACTTCATCTGATGTGCAGAATTTGGGAGATGGAATATGTTTCACAATGTTTCAACGATGCAACAATAATTCATTTGTATAAAAGGGGAAAACTCGACTCACGGATACCTACCACGAAATCAGTCTCCTATTGATGTGCAGAGGAGATGGAATATGTTTCACAATGTTTCAACGATGCAACAATAATTCATTTGTATAAAAGGGGAAAACTCGACTCACGGAACGGATCCACGAAATCAGTCTCCTTTACACAGTATGCAAGATTATGACTTATATATA